TGAGCTGCCGAGTCCTACACCTCATCGTCGAATTTAAACACGATGCCCTGTCGACCTAATTTGGCTTACAACACTTACGTATAACAATCACGTTAACTCAAACTACTACTTTCGTTTGTCCGTTTCATCGATTGTATTTTACAGGCAAGATCTGTGATCCGACCGAATCAAACTATTTGCCTTAAATAAATGACTGATGACTTTTGTCACCTAATATTGATATATTTCGTTGACAACGCGCATAAATTCGTCGTTATCACAATTTATTTCTCAACGGTGAATCTAAAAATAGTAAAGACGAATCTGGTGATACCTAAAATTTATTATCGAGGTTCCGATGGCTCAAGGTTATCAATAATCGTTTAATTAAATGTGATAACTCGAGACGGTTGTGTCGAACGCGTTACATTTTCACTTGGGGTAGAATCAAGATTTATTACAGCAACACTACCAATTTGTGAAACTATGTGGGGTCGTTAATTTCATTAAATAAAACGAATTAGTTAATGGTTCTGTCCCTTAACAGTTAAACTCTTTTCTATTATTGCCTCTTAATTAATTACTTTAATTATAGACAACGTAATGGAAAGACCTTTTGTGAATTTAGAATCAATATCTATATAATTAAATTCGAGAAATTCAACTGATTGAAAATATTGAGATCTTTATTACACACATGTCATTGCGCAGTGTAAAATCTATTTATATTGACAAGATGAACAAGAACGGACAACAAGAAACAGCACGCAACACGTAACATATTTTTTTTTCAATCTTAATATCATAAAATGTTTGCTACTTAGTTACATCATGAATAATTTAGCATTACAACAAAGCTTTGTCTGAATTAATACCGTTTCCTGTGGGCCATGGGGCAAACCTAACTATATTTGTTTAATTGACTGTATTTACCTACAAAAATGTTAAACGCTGTCTGTAGTTTACGCGAGTAGTACACACTTAAATAAAATGCTTTAACGGTTTAAAACGCGATATATATTAGTTAAACTTATTTGAAAACGATTTCTTCGACCCGATGTTTCGGAGGCAGCAGTCATGGTCACGTGACCGTGTTAAAGTGTTTTATTTAAATACCAAAATGTTTGTTAGACGTCTGATCGACATTTTATTGTTTTCACGGGATTCGAACACAGGATCGTACGTAACGTATTGCTAGGCAAAACGTCTTTAATTATGCGAAAGCGGTCATGTGCATTAACGTGTGAAAATTGTGAATCTTTTTTTGTATTCAAACGTAATTAGTTTAGCACTAATTTAGTACAGACGGACAAATGGGTGATTTATACACGGATATCTAGTAATCATTTAAAATCGTCTTCGTTATTAACGTCATATAACTCACGGCGAAGGTCGTACGTCATCTCTTGACGAACATTCGTGGTGCGTGACAAGTGAATGGGCTATTTCCCAATTTTAGAGGTCTAATAAGGATGCTTATTTTAGGTAAGGTTTAAAGTAGATGGTGGTCACTATTTTGGGAACCTAGTATCTTTGACTGTGTTGCATTAAATACTTTAACATGATAGCACCATATAAATTAAATTTAAAAAATTAACGACTCGGCCTGCAGGTTTTGTACTGACATCCACAGCGTTCCGTTCTGTTGCTCTAACCAACTGACACTGTAGCTCAATGGATTTTAAATTTTTTATGTTGTATTAATATAAATAAGACTTTTGACACTGTAAAATACGAAATGTTTTAACTATTTATAATTAGTTAACTACGGGCCGATGTTTCGGCTGATTTAGTTAAAATAAATCGTGAATAAGTTAATATACTTCACGTTTTAAACCGTTCAAAGTGTTTTATTTAAATGTGCATTACAGGCGTTCACTACAGAAAGTACTGTGTTGTATTAAGATGATGTCTAAAATATTTTGTCTAAGTTATATAAATCGTCGTACGCTGTCATAGCTAGAAGACGGGGGACAGGGGGGGCAGAAAGTTATTGCGGGTTTCCGTCGTCTGCGCTGCGAAAACGGATCTTGTAAACCAAAAATTATTTATAAAAGAATGACTCTTCTTTAAACGATCTAAAACAAATGTTGGTCACAGTATATGTCTATCTTTTAAGATTAACTTGCAATAACGACGGGACGTAGACGACATCGTAGGTAACAGCCATAATTTATAAAAGTCTGCAAACAAATGTTGATGTCCAAAATAACTATTCTAGTCGCAGGCACGGCTTGTAAATACAATTTAAACAGACACAAAAGTACGTCCCACGTAGACCTTACTAAAACAGTGTTCTTTACACGCGTCTGACAATTTTGAAATCCTGCCTCGTGAACTGAACATCGGAAGAGTTCCTTAGCTAGCTTCCGCCAGTGATGTAAGGCGACACCGCAGGTAGCCGATTAGCTGTAAGTAGGTCGTTCGTTTTCTATACGCTTCGAGTTACATTACCATCTACTTTATCTTGCAAAAGTAACGATTGCCGACGTTATCGGACGACGACACTTGTTCTCTGTTGCATTAGTTTTGCGATACGAAAATGTTATTGTTGCATTGTTTAACTCATTCGTTGTTTTAGAAATAATTATGGTGGATAGATATTTGATGATTCATTTTTATCACTTAACCCATCGTTAGAGGCAGGTACTTAAGGAAATTATTTTGACTTCGTTTAAAGCTAATGTCTTTATTATTTATTTGTATCAAATAAACAGACCTAAATAGCTCTGAGTGTTGTCTATATTTTACGCATGCAGTACACATTTAAATAAAACACATTTAACTGTATAAAACGTGCGATATATAAATTAACTTATTTAAATAAATCAGGCGTGGTCACTGCTGATGGAAGACCGAAACGTCGAGCCGTAGGTAAAATAAATTGTAAATAAGTTAACTAATATATTTCGCGTTTTAAACTGGTAATAAGTGTTTTATTTAAATTCGTACTACTCGCGTAAACTACAAACAATACTTGTTAACTTATTTAAACTATGGAACGACGTTACGGATGCTTTCCAGGCCCCTCGTGACCACGGCTGTTAAGCCACGAGGCGGTAAAAACATTTTATTTTACAACTATATTTAATTAATTAATTAGGGTTTTCGATTTAGTACACAAACGATATAACTACAAAAGTAACGCAATTGTTGACAAGTTTTACAATTGGCGAGAAGTTATAAAGGTGATATGAGAAATAATGTCAGATAAGCAACCGAAAACAGAATTTTATAAAATTTCCAATATTCATCTAGAATACATTATTAGATCATAAAATATCGCTTTTATCATCATAGATAAGCTCTTGTCTCTTAAAAGCCTCCGAGGTTACAGCCTTGTTAAAAGTGGTCGGAAGTTCAACTAGAACTTGACGTTGAATTTAAATTTTATTTATAAAGAAATCATTTATAACTAAGTATTGTCTGTACTTTAGTAGTATATATGTAAATAAAATACTTTTAACCGTTTAAACGAAAAATACATTACTTAACTTATTTATACTTATTTTAAATAAGTTCACAAGTATATTTCGTGTTTTAATAGGTTAAACGTGTTTTATTTGTTTATATAATATTGAATTTAATACATTGCAGGATTTATATAACGTGTGACGTCGATGACCTAAAGTTAGACATCCAACGCGCTCATAAAAATGCAACATTGTCATTTGTTTACTGTATCTTTAAAAAATAATACAATTACATAATAACTTATCTAGTTTATGTGCTCTCTTGTACCGATAAAAATTAACTAGAATTGCTTCCCTTGATCAATACTCCTAGATCTAACATAAATTGTTGGCATACCATTTATTTGTATAAAAACGAAACAAAATAACTATAGTCTTTTAAATAATTATAATTATGTGACACTAAGTTTATAATTACCTAATTTAGGATAAGTAGATAACGATTTCTTAACTAGGCACTTGTGTTAGGAGTATTCAAAGGTAATTTACGATATTATGTAATTTAGACTTCGTTAAAAGTAGCAAATTTGATATTGACTTCGATTTTCTTTACGACAAATAAATGTGAAAAAATATAAAAAATAAAATATCCTTTATTCTCATTAAAATACAAAAAAAACTTATTTATAAAAAAAGGAAAATGTTTGTCTGTCTGTCTGTCGTGATTCGACAGAGTGTTCCTAAGAGCAACATGACCGAGAATAACACCCAAGAATCTCAGTCCGGCTTAACCGTCCGTTAACATGTACTATAAACCAATAAATTTTTGTGAATTTATTAACCTAAGGAGCAATTCATAAGCCAGACAGCCTTGTTATTAAAGAAATCGTTCAAACAATAATACGCCATTTGAGACAATCTAAATTATATGACTTTTTAAAACTTATTTATTGATAAATTCGTAACCTCATGATAAATTATACATACGAATACATTGTGTATTGCAAAATTTCTAAAACTGTAATTCCTACAAAACACAATTTCCGATGATCACACGAAATTTAAAACGAGAACGAACAAAACACGAGTTTCATTTCGCGTACGTATAAGGTGCTATTATATCAGCAGAAAAATATTAAATGTAATTTTCATTTGACCGTATTCAAGGCATTGTACTTGCAAATATCCTTACAATTGGGTAAACACCTGTAAAAATATAGTTTTTTGTTTTCATATTGCTATTAAACAGTTTCATAATAAAGCCTATATTTACATTATTATGTATTTGTTATATTGAAAACCAATTAATCCAAAAGTACGTTTGCATCACGTCGCAAAAGTCCTTATTCAGAATATTTTGCGTCTACGCATAAGGTTTTGTTTCTTTTATCATTTTTATCGACGTCGTGTCTCCAGAAGACCTGATAGGCCAACTGAAAATTAATAAAGTTTAAAATTATTTAAATTAAGAATTGTTGCAGTAAGTTATTATATTTTAATGCTGAGTCGTTATATTTTGACTTAGCTATACTTTGACATTAATACAGTCAACTAGTAACAGTTTTGTGTAAATTTTTAATAACAAGTATAATTGGAGGCCATCACGCAATGTCTGTGAGTTACAAAAAGTTTAAGAAAAACTGTTTAATAAGACTAATAGCAAAGTGGTGCGATATGGTCTAAAACGAGTTGCATGGACCAGTATTATACAGTCGTTTAGCATATTATCAGCCCACAGCTGTACAACGAAGGGCCACTTCATAGCGTTCAGGGGCGGGATCTGGTTTGGTTAAACCAGATTACGCTACTTTCATATTTCGCGAGTTCTCCGATTATAACTGTTCATCTTATCATTTCGTTTATCTAGAAAATTCGTGACATACACGACAGACACGACATGGTTTACAGACACGTTAAGGTCTTTAATATATAAATTAAATTTAAATTCGGTTCTCTATCGTGGGATAAGTGCACGGTACGGGCCTCGCTATCTATGTCTATTCAAAGCATGTTTGTTTGGCGGTGAGATCGTACGAGCGGCTGCCATCGCGAACAGTCCACACCGAACCACCGTCTCGTAATCACGCCACTGCGTGCCGAACGACGCACAAACGTGGCGTGACAGAAAAAGCCGGCCGCGCACGGGTTTAAAAGTGACAGTGCGCCAGTGACGAGAAAAAGTGTTCGGGAATTAAATCTGGACTTGCCGATTCACCACCTGTTTACGACGTTCAATTGCGACGAATTTTGTTTAGCTGCAGTTTTGCAGTCATTCTTGGTGAGTGGATCTTTATTGCAAATAAAGCAAGTAAAATTCGTTATTAATCGTTAACTTGTATACTTGTAAGTGGAATTCATAATTAACTAAGTTCGACTGTTGACCCGCGGTATTACTGGTTTTCAAGGTTTTTATTTTTGTGTAGATGTTGCTTAAGTTTTTTAGCTCCTCAGCTATGGTCGATACGTTTTAAATTAAACTACGTGAATTTAGCCTTTTATATAAAGTCGGAATAAAATATTTTATCTTAATACTCTTGACACAATTATCTTATTAAATATTTTCAAGGATCCGTATTGATTAATTGTGATATCGTATTTATTATCAGTACAATATCGCCTACCTACCACAAATATAAAATTTACGAAACAGATTCCACATCATTCGAGTATGTCTATTATATATAAAATTAATAATTTTTACAAATTTTAAAACACAGCAACAATTTATTTTATCTTTACTTTGCGACTTTTTATCATAACATTTTATGAAACTAAGATAAAAAGTCTGAGGTTTTTTCTTGTCACGATAAAATAGCTTTCCCACAATTTCAATAGTTATTTATCATTGATATTATATATTATTAGATAAATATTATTTAACATTTTTTGCTGCAAGAAGTTGACGTACCTACCTTCACTTAATACGTGTCTAATGTCATTGACGTATGCAAAGGTTGTATAATTTTAATAGTAATGGCTTTTATTACTTCATACCGATGGAGGAAATATTTTTTAGAGATCGCAAACAAAGTTTCAAAGACCTTTAATGCAGTTGCTGACTGGTTTTAAACAGGATTTTCTTCTATACGTTATCCGTCTTTTTATAAAATTCACGGCTAGATCTATGTAAAAGAGGCAACGCCCGGTGTTAGCTAGAGGCGAGACGGCTTGGAGTCTGCGTGTGCGCATTTACCGAGACAGCGCTGTTACGGTAATACCTGGTGGCGTGATTAGTGAACGGCGGAGCCAAGAACACCGCGGGGTCATTTAGACCCTGTATTTAATATTCCTATTTTGTGAGTTTATTGACTTCAAAGTACATATGGCCTGTTGCGAAAACGATTTTGAATTTTACTAGCTACTTCATCGTTGTAGCATCAATGCACTAATAGCTACTAAAATAAACTAAATGCGAATCTACAATTAATCATTATTAATTAACCATTGGCCAATATTTAGAGAAGTTAATGCAAAATACTGTAATGGTCATCAAATTAAGATACCCTTAGCGATAAAGCAACTTTAAATAGAATAGCTTAATAAAGAGTTTAGCTTATTGATCACATTAGTAGCTAACATGAAAATAGCAAACCGTTAACTTCATGGTAGTTAAAATTTCAGCCTAAATTATTAAGACACTAATTGCCAACAATTAATGATTGTTTATTTGGATCAAACTGATAATTGTCAGTCGATTTTCTCCTTGACATTTTAACTATTCTTATTCTACATCTAGGGTATGAATCTAACTCCATTTTAATGCAAAAACTGTTCACATTAAATCAAATAATTATCAATTTAATTGCATACAAAAACTTGATGCATCCTGAATTACATTAAGATAACGTTAAATATTAGTGTCTGGTTGATATTTCGAATTTAAATTGTATCAATTTATTTATACGTAACTTAAAAGTTTGCTGGGAAGTCGCTTGTTAAAATTGCTGCCCCCAACGATGTTTGCAGAACTACACTTAAGGATATTATCATTATAATCCCCTGCTTTTAACTCGTAATAGGGTCGATACTATTGAATTGAATAAGCCTTGACCGTAACTCTTATGCAAGACATGAATGGATGTCATGTTACAGGGACAGACTTGTACGGATTCTAATATCATTAGAATTTATGGTGCATCATGAATGTTTCTCTTATATGATTACTGGAGAGATAAAAATACCCCTACTAGCATTTATCACAGCTTTATTTTAAGGATTACGGAAGGATTAGTTTAAGGATTTACCAAAATTTATTACATTAAACATTATTAATAGTAGATGGCTATTTTGTGATGGTGATAATGACGATGATTTGTAAGTGTTTTTTACAGGAGTAACTGTACAGCTAGCTTATGGTAGGATAGGGATTAGCCTAAGATGAATTTTGAGATTATTCTTTTCTTTTGTGAACACTGATAGAAGGCCATAAGAAGACCGATAGAAGTCCACATTATCTCCTTACTATTTCATCCATTACCCTATTCCCCCCTTTCCGATAGATATTACGATCTCTTATTGTGTCTTTTCCAAAATTTGCGGTTTTATTGCAAAACTACTAGGTACTATGAGTTCCATCTTTAGATATTTGGTATCATCGTCTGCTAAATCGTCAGTTCCAATTTGTATGTGCCTTAATTTTGAGTTTATTCAGTAAGTAGATGGATGCTTGTATCCTCCCTCTCAAGCTATGTATTTTATAAGTATGGTAAGTCAAGTATTTATTTAAGGGGCTTATCGAGTTTGTTTTCTTATTATTATTTTATAACGTTCTTTTTCTACATGTATACAATTCGCAAAAAACACCAATGTGGATGCCTGTTGAATTCCCGCCCGTGTATTCGTATTTTTATTTTTTATGAGAAAAAATATTAAAATAGTTTTTAAACATCAAATGTATTATCTGTTTCTAAAATCATTATTACATAAGTGCATAATATAGTATGTTGAGATTATAAATCCATTTTAATAACGATATTATTTACGTCTTCGTACGTCGTAATATAAAGACAAATAAAAGTTTAAATGTATCACGATATGGTATTATACTGAGTCAGGACGTTTACATAAATTATATATAAAAATTGTTGCTAACTTCAACTCACGTTTTGCTATATTTACTTATTATCTTAGTGCCCGTATCATACTGTCTATAGTTTACGCGAGTAGTACACACTTAAATAAAACACTTTAACGGTTTAAAACGCGATATATTAGTTAAACTTATTTGAAAATGATTTTTAACTAATATATCGAGTTTTAAACCGTTAAAGTGTTTTATTTAAATGCCCGTATCATGTGATTCGTGACCCGGGCGGAATATCGGTATTCCTATCACTCATGTAACATCCAGCAACACGAAACATTTTGGGTTCAGTGGGGATCCACCGAACGACCCATTGATTATTATCCATACATTGCTAACATGACACCAACTAGCTCGTAAAATGTATACATATCTGTATTTCTCTAAGATTCTAGACTTAAAGGTGACTTCTTGCATGTTTTATAAAGTAAAAAATTGCAACAAATTTTTAGTGTAAACGAAAAAAATCGAATTATCTTAATTTTAGTATCACGACTCATTTACATAACCAAATTTGAATACACGTTTTCTTCGCAGGACATTACTGACCACCCGGTCGCAACGCGAGTTTGACGACTTTTTTCTCGCTTAGATAAATGACTCAAGAATTTTAATGTTGCCATTTCCTTTAAGAACTAAAAAACTTATAGATTGCCAGAATTTATGTCTTTCCAGATACGTTAAGTGAGAATAGATATAAGACATTTTAAAGAGTATTAAATCTGAAATTAGTGCAGTTGAAACTCGGTTAATCTAAACTGAAGTGAAAGTGTAGGTATGCATGAAGCTCAAAATTGTGCTCGTGCGCAAAAAATCTAGGCTATTAGGTCTTGGCGGAATGCTTAGGTTTTCAGTACGTTTTGGTGTCTTGTTGAAAATAATAGTTCATAATAATATCTTAAGTTAGCCTGTGTGGTAATTTCAAACAAAAATAATGTTAGTAAAACCTCGACGAAATCGTAACTCCTTCCTACTCCGTTCCATAGATCTCTTAGTTCAAAAATTTATTTATTTATTATTTTAGTAACTACTTATTTCTTAGCAATTTTTAATTAAAACTCAAAACAACGGTATATTGACTTTTTTAAGATACGCGCAACCGCGAAGACACCGTTAGTCAATTCTGCAAGGACCTGGCCAGTTTAGCTAAATACCAACTTCGACAGAACAGATGGCGCTAGCGCAGCAGTTTTAAGTTTGACATTAGAGACACCCTCCATCTTTCTTCCCGTGACCACTTCTGCTAAGCATCCGAAACGTCGGCCCGTAGTTAAAATTTCAAATAAGTAAATATTTCGCGTTTTAAACCGTTTAAATGTTTTATTTAAATATTTTAAGTTATTTTTGTCATAGAATTTCGTTTTAATGTTGCACTAATTTTTCGCTGATTCGACGTTGGTAAAACAGTTGATTCGTCTCTGTGTAACGGTTTGTCGTATGTTAAATTAACTTAAGCTGACGAAGAGCCCGATAAAGCCTTCATATATCTCAAATCTCGTGTTGTTCGTAACTTTCAGTTCAACTTTCGCCTACCATCAGATAAGACATACACGTCTAATTAGCTACGTAATTGTGTCTTTTCAATGGCTGTGAGGTTTGTATGTAATTGTCAGGTCTTTGGCTAACCTTAGTGCCTTATTGGGTTCTAACTTGTTAGTTGGTAGAAAGTTACATTAGAGCCTATAAATCCTAGGATTTACTGGAAAACTAGTTTCCTAAGTGAAATTACTGGTGTGTTATATAAAGTGAAATTCCGTAGGCTTTGTAGTCAGATTTATGCCCTGAACCACTTAAACAATTATTTTTATTTTCCATAATTTCAAACCTACGCCCTGACATACTTAAACCAATGCGTTTCACCGTAACTGGAGGCAAAATTTATTATAACCTTTTTTTATATTATTATTAATTTATTAACTTTTTTTTAATGTTAGAGGAGGACCGCCCCTGTCTAAATGCTAAATGGTAAAACGTGTTGCCTAGCATTGCGTTGTCGCGAGAGGTCCTGGATATGAATTCCGGGGAAACAATAAATTATTTCGGTCGGGCTGGGCACAGAAGTCTGATCAACTACTTGTTTGTATACAAAAATCGATCAATGAAACGAACACTAAAATTTGTTGCCCTAAGCCCCAATTTCACTTCTAGAGGAGGATAACCATTGGGTTATACCATACCATACATAACATCTACAC